GCCGGGGTGAGGGGCCGAGGCGTGATCCGTGGGATCTATTGTTTCCCGGCACACTGGGAGGAAAAAGAGAGGCTTTTGTCATCATCACCCTCGCCTTTGCTCGCTCTGCCTAATGTGGCCCGGGAGCTGGGCTCTTCCCGGTGCCACACACTGGGATCCGCCTGGCAGCCGCCGGGAGCCGCAGCCAATGTGTTAGGACTTCAGGTGCTTCCTGGCACAAAGCTAGACTGCGACCTCCTGCCGTAGCGCTTGGTGTTACCTGCCCTCCCGGCCCTGCCCCGGGGCCGAGGGATTGCGTCCCGAACCGGGCTTGGGAATCGGCTGCCTCTCAAGTTGGTGTTATTTATGTTTGTCTTTTGTGAGGGCAGGGTTTTGAATCCCCGGCGGCCCTTTCGCCCCCGCCTCCGCCCCCTCGGGCTCGAATGGGCGGGGGAGGGAACGGCGTGTGCAAGTAGGGGAGAGGGGAGGGTGTTTATGGGTAAAAGGATATTGTCAACGTTTTTTTTTTTTTTTTAAAAAAAAAGAAATAAAGGAAAAAAAACCAAAAGAAAAAAAAAAAAAACCCAAACCAACAACAACAACCAAAAACCCCCAAACCACAGGCACCACTCTCAGAAAGCCTTTCTTGCTTCCCTGCATGGGCCATGCGGGCTTGCTGGGCCAGGAAATGAGTTTGGAGCTGATTTAAGAGAAAGTGTGGGCTTCCTCTGCCTATGGTGCATGAGGGTGATGTGGTTTGGTCTAATATTAAACCAAAACAAGCCAAACCAAAATGAAAAAAAAAATTCTTAGAACTGCATTGACTGCCTGAAGTGTGTGGGACTGCTGGCATATTGATAGAAAATCCAGCTGTGGGCTGGAGAACTGCAAGCTTGCATGACTTTTGCGTTTTTGTTTTTTTGTTTTCTCTCCCCCAGCTTGTAGAAAGTTAGGGGTCAGAAAGAATAGAAGAATCAGGATTGTGAAAGGAAGTGTCATGGTAGACTTGATTTCTGGTTGTTACATTCTAGACTCTGTATCCCACTATCTAATTAATAATAGCCTCGTGGCTAGGAAACTTCCAAAGAATGCATTGACCAACTTACAGTGGAACTTAATTGACATTCCAGAACTTACTTCTGACTCTTTTGTCCTGGATTTGCACTGAAATTGTTACTTTGGTCATTCTGGGGAAGAGAATATTGGATCAGAACCACCAGATAAGCCTCGTGGGCATTTAGAGTTTGGAAACAGACTCCAAACTTTTCCCTGTTCTGCACGATTCTGGAAAACTCCCAAATGGGTTGGCCATTTGGGTGACTTTTTGAGGCATTCTTTCATAGTCATTCACAGAAATATCCAGACTTAGGCTAAAGCATTACTGTCAAGTGTGGGGCGCGGTAGGGTGCAGGTGGAGGGGCGTGGGGAGAAAGAGGAGGTGGGGGTTTTGTAAAGACTCCAAGTTATGTTTGAAACACTTTTGTTACCAAAGACCAATCAGAATAACTTTTTAGCTTCTTAATCTTAATGTCCCATTTTGAAGGAATGGATTTGCTGTGTGACTAAACCACTTGGAACATAAAGTGTGTGTTAAATGTCGATTAGTTGACTATACAGAAATTCAGATAAACACATGAATTCAGAAACTCATTATTTTCTATTACAGGTGACCCTCTAGCCTTGCTTTGAAAAAGCCATTTTGTGTAACTCTTGACTGTGAATGAATTGCTAACACACCCGTTGGGATCACGACTGGAAAAGCATGTCACTGCAGAGGTCCTTTGCTTGACCCAGTACTCGGCATTAGAAAGAGACGTGTTTTTCTCTCTTGTTCTTCCTCCCCATCATTATGAGCATTGGCTTTTCACCCTTGAAGTAAAAATGTTGAAAGCCGAGTCTTCGGGTGAACGAACCACTCTCAGAAGTGCTTCTCCTCATAGAAACGCATACAGAACAGAGTTCCAGGCACTGAAAAGTACTTTTGACAAACCCAAGTCCGATGGGGAGCAGAAGACAAGAGAGGGTGAGGGCTCCCAGCAGAGCAGGGGTAGGAAATATGGCTCCAATGTCAACAGGATTAAAAATTTATTTATGCAGATGGGTATGGAACCCAACGAGAATGCTGCTGTTGTTGCCAAAACGAGGGGCAAAGGTAGGCCTACATCCCCTCAGAGAAGAATGAAGCCCAAAGAGTTTGTGGAGAAAACAGATGGCTCAGTGGTTAAGTTGGAGTCCTCTGTTTCTGAACGAATTAGTAGATTTGACACAATGCATGATGGCCCTTCATATGCCAAGTTCACAGAGACTCGGAAAATGTTTGAGAGAAGTATGCACGAATCAGGGCACAATAATCGCTACTCCCCAAAGAAAGAGAAAGCAGGAGGGACTGAAGCACTGGATGAGTGGGGTGCTTCCAAGTCCAACCGAGGCAGCAGCGATTCCTTGGACAGCCTGAGTCCCCGCACTGAAGCCGTGTCCCCCACAGTGAGCCAGCTGAGTGCGGTGTTCGAGAGCACCGAGTCTCCGAGTGCCATGGTTTCTGAGAAGGCTGAGAACAATGAGTACTCAGTGACCGGACATTACCCTCTGACTCTGCCATCTGTTACCGTTACCAATCTTGATACCTTCGGCCACCTCAAGGATTCTAATTCAAGATCTTCTTCAAGCAAACAAGGTGTTGAGACAGAGGATCCTCAGAAGACCCATGCAACTGCAGAAGTGGCTCAGAAAGCCGCCTCTCTAGCTTCATTGCCTAGTGAGGAGATACAGCTGAACAAGGGAGCCGAGGACGTCACATCTCCCCAGGAGACTCTGGACAGCATTGACACAGATATTCCTGAAGAACCCTCTGCTGAAAACCAGGCAATGCCAAAGTCTGATCACCTCCCACCACAGAGCGAAGCTTCAGAAGATGCTGAAGCTGATGTGGTTGGGAGTGAGACAGCACAGCAGCAGAAGGAAGGCCTGGCAGGAGGTGATGGAACCTTGCCTGATGCTTCTGCATCCAGCTGTGGGAAAGAAGTACTTGAAGACTCAAATAATTATGAGAGTTCCCATGTATACATGCATAGTGACTATAACGTGTATAGGGTGAGATCCAGGTACAACTCAGACTGGGGAGAGACGGGCACTGAGCCGGACGAGGAGGACGACAGTGATGAGAACAATTACTATCAGCCCGATATGGAGTACTCGGAGATCGTTGGGTTGCCGGAAGAAGAAGAAATCCCAGCAAATAGGAAAATTAAGTTTAGTTGTGCTCCGATTAAGGTATGTTTTTTCTCAGTTTGTTCCCTAAGTTTCTTTTCAGCATGGTGGCCAATGCAGGACAGATTGGACACCTACTAGATTTTGTAAGACATTTGAGTTTGTGGGTCTGTACCTGTTGTCTGGTGATTTCAGAAGCGAGACTTTGGGGAGGTATCAGGTTGGCTAAAGTGATGTACGGTGGCATAAGCCCCCAGGGAGACATAAGCAAGGTGAAGAGGTTTGTGAGACACATTCCGGGGGAGTGTAGTCCGAGCAGCCGGAACACTGAAACCAGGAGGTTTTGAAATACAGCTACTTCTGCAAGGGGCTCTTTACACATTCTGACTCTACATTATAAGACACAGGGTATAAGGTACACTGGGGGATTTATGCTAACCTTGACATCATTTTCTTTATTTTCTTGCTTTAATGTCTCGGAGCTACTCCTTAGTTCAGTGTAAGTGGATGGTGTTTCTGAACTTTTATTTTTTTTCTTTTTGCATTGCTACTTGGTTGTGAACATTTGCTTTATGAAGCTGTATTAGCTGATAAATACTTTACAAAGCCGTGGCTCTATACAACTTCGATTTCAGAAATTGTTATGTAGCTTTGCAATGATATTTTGAGAGAGGAAGCATAGTTGACTTCATGGATTTATTTTACCTCTTAAAAACTGGACATATGCCAATTAAATTCAGATGTTTTATTTTAATGCTTTCACTTAGCTAACCTTTGGTAGAGAAGAAGAGTGTCCCAGGAGCGGGTGGCGTGATGTGATTGGTGGAAAATGGCACTGGGGGCAGGGCCTGTGGGGTGGGTTTCGGAATCCCCTGGAGTGCTTTTCCAAGCCCTTGCCCACCAACTCTGTCCTCAGATTCTGGTATCATCTTGTTCAGGTGTGTTGTTTGATACCTCTTCTAGGGGCTAGCTGCCAGCATACGTGCTGTATAGATGATAGATTTGGAATTTGATGCTGCATCTTTGTCAATTTACTTCTTAAAACCTAAAGTTTCTTTTTTTTTTCTTGTCCCATGAACTTGCCTTTGAAGCTGTAAGAACTTACGTGGAAATACTCACAGAAATGCCTGCCTCTGCTGTGATTAGCCAATAATATCTTGAAATAAAGTAATATTCTATGAAGTTCTGTTTAGATGTTAATAAGTCAGAGTTTTTCTTATTAATATAAGGTGACATCTTGGGTCAGAATGATCACATGCAGTTCATCTATGTGTAAAATGAACCAAGATATGGATTTAGTTTGAGAGTAAGCTGTGTTTTTGTATGTTTTGATACTTTATTGTAGCTCTGCTCACCTGTCCATGGGGTTATTTCCACTTTTAGGCATCCTCTTCAAAGGTATCCGTTTCCCAAGCCTGTCCAGCGAGCTCCCAAATTCCACTAGTTAGGGTCCTTTGAGCAATGTTCTTCCTTACTCCTAGAAAGGCATCAATACAGGTTAGACCAACCTAAACTGAACAAGAGGGGTCAGCACAGGTTAGACCGTCCTAAACTGAACAAGAGGGGTCAGCACAGCTTAGATCATCCTAAACTGAACAAGAGGGGTCAGCACAGGTTAGACCGTCCTAAACTGAACAAGAGGGGTCAGCACAGGTTAGACTGTCCTAAACTGAACAAGAGGGGTCAGTACAGGTTAGACCATCCTAAAC